GGTGTCTCGTGGAATGTTTCGTGAGGTGTCTCGTGGGTTGTTTCGTGAGGTGTCTCGTGGGTTGTTTCGTGAGGTGTCTCGTGGGATGTTTCGCGGGGTGTCTCGTGGGATGTTTCGTGAGATGTCGCCCAGTTGGGTATCGTGAAAACGTGACCATGCTGCACATGTCTTTATCCCTTTCCGGGTTCGTGGGTCCATCATGTTTCTATGTAAACATGTCCCCGGTGCCCAACTTGAAGGAGGCCGGCGAAATTTTTCCTTGATAAATATCGAGGTCGAAGGAGGCCGGCGAAATTATTTTTGAGGATGTCTCGAGCGAAACGCTTGTTTTTGAAATCCCGATCGATAAATCACAGGGTGCGGGCCATTTTTTCGTGTGTTGAGGATGTCTCGAGCGAAACGCTTGCTCCGCAGAGTTTGCCGAGGATGTCTCGAGCGAAACGCTTGTTTTGTAGAACTTGAGGGATCTGGGCACCCCAGCACCACCACACCCCAGCACGACCCCACCCCAGCACGACACCACCCCAGGACGACCAAACCCCAGCACGACCACACCCCAGCATTACCCCACCCCAGCACGACCCCACCCCAGCAAGACCATCACCCAGCACGACCACACCCCAGCACGACCTCACCACAGCACGACCACACCCCAGCACGACCACGCCCCAGCACGACCACGCCCCAGCACGACCACGCCCCAGCACGACCACCCCCCAGCACGACTACCCCCCCAGCACGACCAACCCCCTAGCACGACCACACCCCAGCACGACCACACCCCAGCACGACCATCACCCAGCACGACCACACCCCAGCACGACCTCACCACAGCACGACCACACCCCAGCACGACCACGCCCCAGCACGACCACGCCCCAGCACGACCACGCCCCAGCACGACCACCCCCCAGCACGACTACCCCCCCAGCACGACCACCCCCCAGCACGACCACCCCCCAGCACGACCACACCCCAGCACGACCACTCCCCAGCACGACCACACCCCAGCACGACCACACCCCACGACCACACCCCACCACGACCACACCCCAGCACGACCCGATCGATGAATCACAGGGTGCGGACCACCCCAGCACGACCACACCCCAGCACGACCCCACCCCAGCACGACCCCACCCCAGCACGACCACACCCCAGCACGACCACACCCCAGCACGACCCGACCCCAGCACGACCCCACCCCAGCACGACCACACCCCAGCACGACCCACCACAGCACGACCACGCCACCAGCACGACCACACCCCACGCCCCAGCACGACCCGCCCCAGCACGACCACCCCCCAGCACGACCACACCCCAGCACGACACACACCCCAGCACGACCCACCCCAGCACGACCCACCCTAGCAAGACCACACCCCAGCACGACCACACCCCAGCACGACCTCACCACAGCACGACCACACCCCAGCACGACCACGCCCCAGCACGACCACGCCCCAGCACGACCACGCCCCAGCACAACCACCCCCAGCACGACCACCCCCCCAGCACGACCACACCCCAGCACGACCACCCCCCAGCACGACCACACCCCAGCACGACCACTCCCCAGCACGACCACACCGCCTTGGTTGAGTGGTTGCCTGTCGTCGTGGAATGTTTCGTGGGGTGTCTCGTGGAATGTTTCGCGGGGTGTCTCCTGGAATGTTTCGTGAGGTGTCTCGCGGAATGTTTCGTGAGGTGTCTCGTGGGATGTTTCATGAGGTGTCTCGTGGGATGTTTCGTGAGGTGTTGCCCCGTTGGGTATCGTGAAAACGTGCCCATGCTCCACATGTCTATATCCCTTTCCGGGTTCGTGGGTCCATCATGTTTTTTACCGTCCGCCCCCCGGCGTTTGCTTTTGGCCCTTTTGGGGGGACTGATTTTCTATTCGTCCTCCTTCGCTCGCTTGATCACCCGCGGCCGCGGGGGGAGGATTGCGGAGGGGGGACGGGGCAATTAGGGAGTAGTTGAGGGAAGGGGTTTTCGAAGAGGCGCTTGATCACCCTCGTCCTTGCGGACGGACGCCTGTCGTCCTTGCGGACGGCCGCGGCGATTGGGAGGTGGGGGCAAGGGCAGAAGGAGGAGGAGGGGGAGGAGGAGGAGGAGGAAGAGGAGGAGGGGGGAGGAGAAGGAGGACGAGGAGGAGAAGGACGAGGAGGAGTAGGAGGAGGGGAAGGAGGAGGAGGAAAAGGAGGAGGAGGAGGAGGAGGAGGAAGAGGAGGAAGAGGAGGAGGAGGACGAGGAGGAGGCGGAGGAGGAGGAGGTCGAGCTCGCCCTGAAAAATCACTCGTCCACCCCCCTGGCCCCCGCGCCCTGGATCGCCGCCCCGTGCCCCCCCCCCTGGCCTTCCAGGCAACCCGGAATTGTCAGCCCCCCGTCTGCCTGCCCTGCCTCCCCGCTATTGCGGGGACGAGGAGGCCCGCGAAATATGTTTGATCGCCCGCCCCAGAATTGTTTATATATATATATCTATATCAATATATATACACATTAAGAGAAAACAACATCGGTTCCCCCCATATTACGTGGTGTGTGTATGTGCCCGCAACGTAGTGCAACCTATGCGGTGGAAGCTATGCTGTGCAAGCGCGATCCCTCATCATCCCCATTGGCACAGTCGTTATCATCATCGCCAGCAGCAGTGTTGCCATCACCAGCATCATCACCACCATCATCATCACCACCGTCGTCGTCCTCGTCACCACCGCCATTGTCATCGTCATCCTTGATGCCGTTGGCCCCGCAACACCATTTCATCGTCCGAAGCGCACTGTGTCATCGTCCTCACCAGCACCGTCGTCGCCATTACCGTCAGCGTAATCGATGCCACCGTAATTATCATCACCCTCAGCTTGATCACCATCACCATCGTCGTCTTCGACATCGTTGCCACCGTCATCATGAACATCGTCGCCATCGTCATCGACGTTGTCGCTGCCTAGGTGATTTGTGGGGAGAAGTTGCTGGTGTGCCACGGGCATAGAAGGTACTCACGCGCGGATTGTGCCAACATCAAATTGTTGCTCATAGGTTTATCGGGCCGGACGAAAGGGGGGGATTGGGAAAGGGGGGGGGGGTACGACATTTGTTGCATGCAGCTGGTTTCGGCCTCGCCAAGGGGCCCATTCCTCGATACATAGCTGCCTCCGGCGCCGGGAGGCGCCAGGAAAATCAGCTACGTGAGCTGATTCTCAACCCCCCCTTTGCTATCCCCCCCTTTCGGCTGACCCGAGTTTAACCAGATAGAGGGAGGGCCTCAAGAGTGCAAAAAACACTCGTCGGGGTCCAAGCTGGCACACATGAGTTCTCGTGTTTGCAGCTTGGGGAGGCGTTCTAGGCGAGAGCTGGGGTTGAACACGTAATAGATTTCATCTGATTGCGCTCCCTCTGCAAGTAGCAAGCTTCAGGGTTTCACCAAGCACGTAAGCATCATGCGAATCTATAGTTGAGATAGCGAGCTTCTGTCGATTCATGCAGCAATTTGGGCTTCACACGTCAGCGTCATGAAACTTCCGAGATATTCCTAGCGACGACCAGGTTTTAAACATGTCCAGCCCTCGATGCCGTGCGTTCCTCAAGGCGTGAGGCTTGCAAATGGAGACCTCTGAGGCGAGGGCCTCATGTTGAGGATCACTCGCCTTCGATCGGTTGACCTATGGTTTGGAAAATTACATCTTCATATTGTAGCATCCTTTGAGCGTCCGGCGACAATCCTATTTTTGAATTCGCTCGCCCTCCATTCGGGTCTCAGACGAAACGCATCGGCCGCCCTGTATACACACCAGCGCACACACAGCACACAGACACAACACAACACAACACAACACACAACACAACACAACACAACACAACACAACACAACACAACACAACACAACACAACACAACACAACACAACACAACCAACACAGCACAACACCACACCACACCACACAACACAACACAACACAACACAGCAGAACAACACAGCATAACACAACACAATATAATACATTACAACGCAACAGAGCACACCACAACACAACACACACGCACACACACACACACACGCACACGCACACACACACACACACACGCACTCACAGAAACACGCACACACACGCACACACAAACACACACACACGTTTGGGGGTGCGCGATGAGGACAATGTATTATTTGGGGAAGCGGGGGTGGAACACGATGACGAGGAGGATGCGGTGTAGGGAGAGGGGAGAGCGTGGAGGGAGTATGGAGAGAAGCGTAGCGAGGAGGAGGAGGAGGAGGAGGAGGAAGTGGACGAAAGTCCGCGGTACGCTCCAGCACTACGGTCTAAGCTTGTCCAGCGTAAAATAAAAGGGAGGAGGGGGATATTCCCACAGCCAGACTCGCCCAAGTGGCTTTTTGTTGACCCGCCCGGCCAGCCACCGCCTCCCGTGCAGCCGCCGGGCCATGGCGCGCCGCGCGCGCGGCTCCGGCGCCGCTGTGGCGCTCGCGGCTGTGGTTGCAGCGGCCGGCTGCGCCGGTTGTCACCTCTGCTCGGCCGATCTTGATCGTAAGTCGGGCCTGTCCCTCTGTGGGGGGAGTCTCCAAGAATAGGCAAAAGATAGTCACTGGATCATTTTTGGAGTATGTTTTACCATTTTGGGGCATGTTTTGGGTATTTTTTATTTTTCTTCGAAGCTCCCCCTGTAGGGGGACACGCCCGACTTAATCCCTACCCCCATCCGCACCCCCATCCCGAGCCCCTCCATCCCACCACCCCAGTTGGGGACATACCCCTCGAGACCCGAAGGGGGCAGCCTCTGTCCCCATCCAGGGAGCAGGTCGGCCAGTTCGGCCCGGGCCACTGCGGTGGGGAGGGGGATCGGTCAGACAAGATGCTCAGGTTGGGGCTTCTTGCTGCCGGGCGCGAGCAGCCAGCAGGGCTCTCACCACCCACCAAGCCACCCCAGCCCAACCCGAAGGCCTCAATTTGCCCTCCATTTCCAGTGTGGGGGGGGTCGGGAAACGTCGAAAAAACACATGTGGAGCCCTTGCTCCCCCCAACCTGGGGTGGGTTGGAGGACTGAGGAGGAGGAGGAAGAGGAGGAGGAGGGGGGAGGAGGGGGGAGGAGGAGGAGGAGGAGGAGGAGGAGGAGGAGGAGGAGGAGGAGGAGGAGGAGGAGGAGGAGGAGGAGGAGGAGGGGGCAAGGGTTGGGTTGGGTTGGGGTGGTCTGGTAGGCAGTCAGGCTCGCGGCGCGAGGCGCTCGGAGCCGGCCTCCTGGGAGCCCTGGCCGCGGGCGCACAGGCGGCCGAGGCGTACGAGCTGCCCCCGCTGGGCTACGCCTACGACGCGCTGGAGCCCTCGATCGACAAGGCTCAGGAGGAGAAAAAACACACAGACACAATGAATCGTCGATTCCCCAGAAAATGTGGGAATATATATATATATATCTGTATATATAGGAATTGTATATAGGAGTTGGGCGGGAAGACAAAAACCCAGAACATATGGGAAACTATGGGGAATCCTTTTACTGGTGTGTATTTATTTGTGTGTCTTCAAAGGCGACCATGGAGTTCCACCACGACAAGCACCACAACACGTACCTCACGAACATCAACAAGGCCCTGAAGGGCAAGGACGAGCCCTCGATCCTCGACCTGCAGAAGGGCGCCATCAAGGCCGGCACTGCGGTGCGCAACAACGGGGGCGGGTTCTACAACCACAACATGTTTTGGACCGAGATGGCGCCAACGGGCACTGGAGGCAAGCCGTCCGGAGCTCTGGCTACCGCTATCGACAAGGCTTTCGGGTCGTTCGACGACATGAAGGCGAAGTTTGAGGCGGCAGGTGCTCCTGGCGCACGCTTTGGCTCTGGGTGGGTGTGGCTCGTGGTCACCAAGGAGAAGGGGTTGGCCATCACCTCGACCCCGAATCAGGACAACCCGTTGATGGACGGTGTTGAGGGGACACCAGGCATTCCCATTCTCGGCTGCGACGTCTGGGAGCATGCCTACTACTTGAAGTACCAGTTCAAGCGTCCCGACTACATCAAGGCTTGGTGGAACGTCGTGAACTGGCCGGTGGTGGGCCAGTGGTATGATGGCGCCCTGCAGGGCAAGGCCCCGACGACTAAGGGCAGTGAGACTGCCACATTCTCGCTCTAGTTTCCTGCGCTGCTGGTCAGCCAGATGCCACATCGATTTTCGCTATCTAGCAGCTCCTCCTCCAAGGCTGGGAGGCTCCCAGGTTTCAACGCGCTCTGGCGAGGAGGAAGGGGATAAAGTGTATGTCCGTCGGACTGTTTAGACCACATCAGGCATTCATTCTCCCATTCGAGGTAGAAGCTCACACTGTGGTACAGCAGCTCGCCTAGTCTCTGCTGGATCTTAGCAGATTGATCGACGCATGTCGGTGGAGGGGTGAATTTCCAGCTCCTAGTTCTAGCTGGTTTGGGGGTTCAGCCAGGGTCAGGTTGTCCTCTAGGCAGTGAAGCAAGTAGGGCCTACCATAGCTTCCGAGAGAGCGAGAGCGAGAGAGAGAGAGAGAGTGGAGGAAGGGGAGAATGAGCAGGATGACGCGGCTGAGGAGGAGTCTGTAAGATACTGAGAACGGATAAAGGGCGAGGAGGAGGATGAAGCGGAGGCGGACAAGGACGAGAGGGAGGTGGATTGGGGAGGAGGAGGGGGGGAAGAAGCCTTCCATCGGTGGATGGGTGCTTCGTTCACTGGCGGACGTTCACTCGCGGAGGACCTCCGCTGGGCAAGGGTTCCGTCCCGCCCCGAGCACCCCAGCTTTGGGCCTCCAGCCCTCAATCCCGAAGCCACCGGCCCGAAAATACCAACAGCAACACACCGAAGCATCATGCACCAAACCCCATACCCGAAGCTCCAACAACGCAAACCCGCCAAACCCCAGCCATCAAGCACCAAACCCGAAACGCCACAGAACGACACACGCCAAACACCAAATCACCGCCGCCACATCCTACATCCCAAGCACCAATCACCGAACCTCAGCCCCCGAACACGAGCAGTAAGCATGAAGCATCAACCACCAACCACAAACCACCAAAGCCAAACCTCATTCCCGCAACACTGAAATCAACCATTAAGCACCAGACGCAACACCACAAACAACAACCTGCAAACACCACACCCCCAAGCACAGCCCCTCCAAGACAAGCAGAGACACACATTCATAATAAGTACCAAACACTCAACACCAAGCACCAGTTTGGAGGAATAAGACACACGAATTGCATAACGACCACATCGGTCGCAAGTGATCCTGAGCTGGAGCAGGAACAACGTATAACCATACAGCCATGCCGATAATTGTAACACTCAGGGGCATGCAGGATACCAGCAACACGTAGTAGCGGTACAATGCACGTGCTACGCACGTAGTGCATATCTTATCCATCATGTGGGCGTGCACGTTTCATAGGTCAAGCACAGTTCCTGCATGCTTGGAGCATAGCGGACGCATGCATCTGTACTTCGGCTGTTCAACATATACATGCCGTCATGGATCCAGTGTTTAGATACTGTTCAGCTATGTGTACGGGTGCTTTTGCGCGTACATGTGAAGTGTCCGCGTAGCACCACATCGCGGGGGAAGTTTGCAAGACATGGCTACTATACATGCCAGACGCGCTCGGCTCATCACCAGGACTTCATGTAGACCTGAATGGTTTATGCCATAAATCATACGCGCGGAACGCGTACAACGTAGTCTTGGCATATTTGGGGCCTATTGCTGACGTGGTTCGGATATGGCCATTGCACACCAAGCAACGTTTGATTATGATCGGCGTGTCTGCCCTGGCACAGGACATGGAAACCATGTCATTCGCAACACCTGGCTGTCTTGGTTGTCTGTGTACAGTCATGGATGCGCGCATTACTTTCCTGGACTTTCCTGTACGCGTGTGATATACATCTATGTGCGCATGCATTCGCCTGTGCCTGAACACGTGCGCACGTTTCCGTGCAATTGCACAGGCATGCGCATGAACATGTGCATACAGGGAAAGAAACGTGTTATGGTAAAGGGGCGGCTCTGAATGCGATCATCGCATTGTTCGCTCACCGTTCGTATGTCGCGTGGATATCCTGTGATACCGAGTTCACCGACGTTTTCCTTGTGCTCAAGGTGCCTGGCAAATTTAAGTCACACGCGTTCCTTTTCGGGGTAATGAGCCCTTCGCATCTTTTTCCCGGAAAGGGCTCGAGCCCAGGGTTCTCTTTTAGTGGGTTTACCCCCGGTTTCGACGGGAAGAGGGCCAGCGCAATTATTCTGCGATAAATTACGTGCGGGAAGAGGGCCGGCGGAATTATTTTTGAGGATGTCCCTAGCGAAACGCTTGTTTTTCAGAATTTGTTGAGGATGTCTCGAGCGAAACGCTGGTTTTGCAGAGTTGGGGATGTCCGAGCGAAACGCTTTTTTCAGAATTTGTTGAGGATGTCTCGAGCGAAACGCTGGTTTTGCAGAGCCGACCGCGACGCGCCCCGCGCGCAGGAATTCCGATGATGTTTCGCGCGTGCCGCGTCCCGCGCGCAGGAATTTCGAGGATGTCTCGATTAATTCGTTTTGTTTTGCAGGATTTCCTTGAATTTTGGCAGGATGTCTCGAGCGAAATGCTTGTCTTTCATACTTTGTTGAAGACGTTTCGAGCGAAACGCTGGTTTTGCAAAATTGGGGGGCCTCGTGGGGGGCCTCGTGGGGTCCAGAATTCAGAGGATGTCTCAGGCGAAATGCTTGTTTTCACGTCCCGCTCGCAAGAATTCCGAGGATGTCTCGCGCGTGCCGCGTCCCGCGCGCAGGAATTCTGAGGATGTTGGCAGGATGTCTCGAGCGAAACGCTTGTCCCCAGCACGTTCCGTAGCGCGTCCCCTTGGCACGTCCCGCGGTGCGTCCCCATGGCACGTCCCTTGGCACGTCGCTTGGCGGGTCCCTTGAGACGTTCCGCGTCGCGTCCTCCTGGCATGTCCTTTTGTCAATTAGCTCTGGGGCAGCTACTATGTGTTTAGGCAGCTCGAGCTCAAGATCCAGATCAGTTCGATCAGGACTCGGATGCAAAGGAGGACTCGATCCACGACGCTATAGAGCACAATCGCGGCATTGCACATCGCAATTCAGCACGGTGCAGCACAGCACATATTTCGGCACGGTACATCAAGATCGATACACTCAGCATTGCATTTTGGCACGTTCCGTGGCACGTTCCGTGGGGCGTCCCTTGGCGAGTCCCCCTGGCACGTCGCGTGGCGCGTCCCCTGGCACATCCCGTGGCACATCCATTGGCACGTTCCGTAGCGCGTCCCCTTGGCACGTCCCGCGGTGCGACCCCATGGCACGTCCCCTGGCACGCCGCCTGGCGCCATCCCTTGGGACGTTTCGCGGCGCGTCCTCCTGACATGCTCCCCTGTCCATTAGCTCTTGGGCAGCTACTATGTGTTCAGGCAGCTCGAGCTTAAGATCCAGATCAGTTCGGTCAGGACTCGGATGCGTCGAGGCTATAGAGCACAATCGCCGCATGGCACATCGCAATTCAGCACGGTGCAGCACAGCACAGCCCTCGGCAGGGTACATCAGGATCGATACACTCAGCATTGCATTTGCCCGTCACCCAATCATGTGTCTTTGAAAACGTTGCCATGTGGTACAGTGCTATATTCCTTTCCGGGTTCGTGGGTCGATCATGTTCCAATGTTCACTGGGTACGAACCCTTCACCAGGAAGCGAACCTTTCCACCCAGACGCTAACTTGCGGCGATAGGAGGGCGGGAGGGAGGACGGAAGACGAAGGGGTGGAGGACGAGGACGAGGGTGTTGAGGGTGCTGACAGTGCGGTCACAGCAGGGTGCCCCTCGCCACCTGGCGCAAAACAGAAGCTCAGAAGCCTCCACCTGAGTCGCCTGGCAGGCTCTTTCCCACCTCACGAGGTCGTCAGGGGAGGTATTACCATGCAACGTGGCCACAGCAGTGGCTTCCAGCCCCAGGAGGCGCAGCAATTGTGAGCCCACCTGGTGACCTCCCTTCCCTGCCGCGGGCCCTTTACTGGCCTTAGTCGAAACCTGCTCCCTCGCGGATCCACTGCTGGGGTCCGAAGAGTCAGCCGCGGCAACCGACGGCCCAGGCTCAAGCAAGGGCCCCCAGACAGCACGCACGGCGAGGGACGGTCCGAAGGCCATACGGACTCTGGCGTCGGCACGCGCGTGCCCCGGGGTCAGGCCTCTGCGCAGCTAGGAGCGCTGGGTGTTGAGCCCTTGGCACCTCGCACCCTCGCACGCTCCCTGGAGACCCCATCGCAGACGCGTGCACCGAGGCCCCACGACCCGTACACAAACAAGGGGTCGGGGCCTTGGCATCGCTCGGACGTGTGCACTTTTTCTCGGCGGGGACCATCGAGGAGCATCTTTGCTCATTCCGCGAAGAATGCACGCACGAAGTCGAAACATGCACGGGGAATGGACGTCCGAGCGATGGCGAGGGGAGGCCCTGGCCAGGGTCCAGCGCGGCGGCCTGCACGACGGAGTGCCCTCGGACTGCCCAGGGGGACGCCCGTGGCGGAGGGAAGCGTCTGCGCCGCCGGACGTCTCGGGAGCAGGAGGAGCAGGAGGAGGAGGAGGAGGAGGAGGAGGAGGAGGAGGAGGAGGGGGAGGAGGGGGAGAAGAGGGAGGAGAAGAGGGAGGAGGAGGAGGAGGAGGAGGAGGAGGACGAGGAGGAGGACGAGGAGGACGAGGAGGACGAGCAGGAGGCGGATGTGGACTTCAGGAAGGGTTCGGCTCCGCACACTTTGAGGGCTCGAGCGTTTGCGAGGCGGCACTTGGGCAAGCCGTAGCAGGTGGAATGGGGGCTTCTGAAGACCGCTTGGCTCCTCTTGAGGCCTTTGGGGTGAGGAACCAGCCTCGGCCCCCGCAGCCAAGGACCAGACCCCGAAAGGCGCCACGCCTTCCTCCAGACGGGCTTGAATTCGGCCTTGGGGAAGGTCCGCGTCCAAAACGACCTCCCCCGTGCGAGCAAACTCCTGCGAACCAGGTTGCTCCAGTTCCCCGAAGACTTCCTGACACCTACTTTGCCACCTAACAATGTGGCGATACGCTCGCAGCCAGAAACAAAATTAAGATGATCCTGTGAAACATTCCAAAGCCTGGCTCCTCTTTTGGTCGACTTGTCGGCCATCGCACTGCCTTTTCAATTCGCTAGTCGTCATGGCCAGAGGTGTCGGAAGCTAGCTTCCTGTGAGCATCAACTTCTGTAACACAAGTTTTGTTGTTTATGCCTTGCCACCAATGGCTCCACATGTACCTCCTCGGTTTGCCTCTCCCAAGGGCCACACTAGAGTTTCTAAAACAGATAAGGGTGCCTGAACAATCCGTGTGCACTACTGAAGCATGGTCATCCGACCATTCACTGAAGGCAGCACGCATTCTGAAAGCTCAGTCCTCTCCGTCCTGAGCCGCCTGTCCTGGGGCAGCGCGACGTGGAACTGCACCGTACATGGCGCCGATCAGGTTGCCAGCGCGGTCT